CTCGTTCTACCCAGACCCGAGAAACACGGCGGTCCCATCACTCTGAATCCTTCCACCTGCAGCGGAGTCGGTTGTCAATTGGACAATCTCTTCAGCGCCGAGCTCTGGCATCCAGGCGACCTGAAATTTGCATTGGAGGAGGCTCTTGTTCGAATTCTTCAAAGCCCTCTGGTGGAATGCCTTTCGGTTCTCGAACTCAGTCGCCTCATTGATGATGCCTTTCCCTTACCGCGCAAAAAAGCTGTGAAGTCAACCCCTGTGAAGGCTAAGACCACGAGCGGTCCTGAGGAAGGCAGGTTGAGCTGTAGAATTGTTTAGCGTTCATTCACGTCTGGATCTCAATTTTGCCACTCTTTAACCTTCATCAAAGCCAAAGTTCAGCTTTCTGGTACGTTTTCTAGATGAAAGACGGAAAGATACTGAGAAGTCTAAGGTCTGTCCCGGTTCCCTCGAAATGAGGATCGGTGAAGTGGTGGACGTAAAGTCGGTAAGACAATTGTTTCAGCGGCTTCTTTTGTCAAGGTTTTCCCTTCTGCGTGTTTCATTGGTTGCATTTAAAGCATCCCACCTCGGCTGACTTCAACGTCTGCCGCGTCTCCTTCGGCGCTGGAGAGAATGACAGGATCTCTGTGATTGGACTACCTGCTGAGGCTTTGATGCACAAAAAAGCTGTCTTTTTGACCAACCTTATTCCTTGTGACGTTGAAGGCGTCACTTCGGAGGTATGCAGATCTGGAGTGGATGTACTTTCTGGTCTCTGATATTCGTCTCACTTTTTCTACCTCTCCTCCTCGATCCACAGATTAAGGTAGTGTGCTTAGGTGACAACGTGTTGGAATGCCCTTGTCATGCACTGGGCACAGTGCTACGTTTCCAGGACACAGAGAAGGAAGGAAAACGTGCTAAGACTGCCGCCCCCTGCAATGTTATAGTTAATTATGATGCAAATCCAGGATGGAGAGCCTTCTTTCATGACGTCTATTACTCCCCTGATGGTGGCGGTGCTCTGTGTTGGCGGCGCAATTGGCGTCTGTTTCTCGCTCCTTAATTAACATACACACTTGTTAATTGGTCTTGTCTACAACCTAGTAAACTATTTTTAAGTGGACTGGGCTTTCTCCTGTCCCTCGCGATTTGTGTCCAACAGCCAGGTGAAGTGGGATACCGTGGAGCATTAGTGACTGGTCTGTTGATGCGAATTTTGTGCCCAAGTGATGCAGTAATCGAATAGGTCTTTTGATCGGCGCACCACAATTTTCACTCGTCTTACCTTTTTCTTCGAATACTTCTGATATAGTTGTATGGGACATCTAAGCATGGCTTGGAAATGCGATCGCAAAACCTTTTCCCTTTTCTCTGTCGAGGTTCCTACATAAGTCGAGCCCCTTCTTGAGTGGTTTCTGATTAGGAGGCGGCCTTCTCCATTTGGGAGTACCTTGA